CGATGAATAGACGAGAACACTTCAGTCTTGAAATCACTTAATGTCTTTTTTATATACTTGCTGTGAAACCAAAGGCTCAAACCAGGCAGCTTAGAGGTCTGGTCTTCGGCCTCTGTTGGCCAGCTGTCGAAGAACTTAGGTCTAACTATGGAAAACACAAAAGGCTTTGGCCTATGGAGTTGGAAATACTAGGCCAAATGCTCTCATCTAGTGTATGAACCTGAGCAAACACTCATTTCAAATACAACAACAGTCCTTGCAATTTCAGGGAACAGACCCCACAACCATGTCTAGCTTACTCTTGCCCCTATCCAAGGATACCGCTTGACATAATACGTAATGTGTGATTGACGATTTTCTGTGAAGCTATTTTGATATGCAGTGAAAGCAAAATTGCTTGAATACTTTAAAAATGCGCAACATTTTGCCTATAATGTTCATGCCCTCTCTTTCAGCGATAGACAAGGAAGCACAGCTAGACCTCGCATAGGAGACTTCCTTGGTGAGTTCTACGAGTTTTCCTTGCTTGAAAGTAATACGAAGTTTTGGCATTCTTCAGTTGGTTACAGGCGTCCTGAATTGGACACAATCGCTACGCCAAACCATTACCGACAGCTCACAAATACGGGCTTTGAATTTATGTTTGATTTAATCTTTTCTTAAATTTTAAACTCTGAATTTATCTCAAGGACAAGCATATTTGTAGGTTTCTCCACAAGGACCCTCTATTATAGTGACTTCCTTTCTTCTAGTTTATACTTTTGGGGAATATTACACGATTAGCTAGAATGGGCACTTCTGGCTTGCTGGCTGACCATTTCCCCCCCTTGGACGGAAATTGGACGAGGTTTCATTCCGGTCTCAGGCTACCATGCGGTCTATCTGTCGTCTGCGGTTGGTCAAAAAACCTGTATGCAATAGCATAAACTGACACGGTTATGGGATGTGCTCTTCTCCTTCCCTCTTGAAGATCCATCCAGAACTCTGGAAAGTGATCGCTAGTTAGAGGACAATAAACCTGTTTTCGTACTTTTGGAATATTAAACTTGCTTATTGGTGGTGAAGAATTCCAGATTTAACCTCGAGGTCATCCAAATATTCGGTTTTCTGATGACGACTTAGAGAACGGACTTGGCCATTCAACTACCCCTTGCCTTTGTCCGTATCCGATCTGCAAATAAATTGTCATCACCTTTTAGTAAACGCTGATTTTCTTTCAGTTCGCAGTCAAATCCTGCGACCAAAATCGGCAGGCACATATAAAGATTCGTCATCTGGCTTCCATACTGCTGTTTCCGGAGGAAAATCGGTAAGAGGACTGGTTTCGCTCAAATGCCTTTTTTTAATGTTAAGAGTTCCACCAAACGACCGCAGATTGTTCTTATTGTGTGTGCTGCATGCAGCATGCAGCTTAATGTTGGGATGTGTCAGTTATGTCGGGATGCCGGCTTCTGAATGGAGTTCTTTCTGTCCGCCCCCCTGTAAAACTAAACGCTGTACAAAATGGTTACTTCAGTAGGACACGTCTTCTCATTAATTTTTGATGCTTTATAAGTTAAAATATACAATAAAATATGCAATACATGGCAGGGCCTTGTCGTGACATATGATAATACAAATTAGAAAGATAGTGATGGCCACCTCCATTAACTTAAATGTATGTCAGTCAACGCGAAGTATCAATTCAGCGTATGTACTTGGTTCAACCATGGGTTCGAGAATTAATGTATTTCATGGATTTCTTGTTTGAACGCTCAAAAAGCAGTCAGCGTCTCTTACGCACCCCACCCCCTTGGTCAAGTTTATTTAGGCCTAGATAACTTTCGAGTCTATCAAACTTCAGAGTTTACTGATGTCGGAGACTAACCGCGCCAACGGCACTTTCCTGGATCAGAATTCAATGTCGGAGTAACTTTAAGAGAATTCTGTTCGGGGATACCTTGCACGCAATTGGCAAAATAACGTTATACCAACTTTAAACCTTAGGCAATTTTTTAGGTTTTTTAAAGTTGAGTTCAGTGACATACGTCAGAAATGGTTAGTCTTAGGTGAGGTTTCATTTCATCTGGAATAGAAGAGAGTGAATTGAATTCGTTAAGACTGTAGTGAACAAGACTTGAATAGGACTATAGCGGTTAAATAATTCTTCATAAGGAGTTGTTTTTTGCATCGATGCATTCAAACAGAACAATCCATTCTATGTTTGAGCTAATTAATTTCTAAATTAAATATTTTTCGGGTGACGTAAGTTAAGTCGATATCAGGCGGATTCTGTTGGAGTGACATATCCGATCCAAAACAAGTTTTTCTTCCGTCTATAAGTCACTAACTACGCAGATACGCAATCTCTATTAACTCATTCTTGCAGTTTCTACCGTTCCTTAACAATATGCGTTATTTTTTGACAATTCCGAAAGGTTTTAGCTAAAAGCCAGCAATACACGTTGGAGGAGTATCAAGATCTAAGGACAGAACTTCGCGAAAGAGAAAAATCCTTCCTAAGATTTAAAATGAAGATTGCCTCAATAAAATTTGACAACTGATTTCTGTTGTGAATCGGTGTTTTACCTGTGATGAAATAAATATCCTACGGTCTTCGGTTTTCTCATTGCAAAAAAATGTCCTGGGAACTTTAAAAAATCTGGTTCTTTCGATTTGAAGGGCGATAGTTGTTGCTATACTTTGCTGCTGTTCGTGATGACAACAAACCACTTTGCTATCGACACCTAAGTAAATCAACTTCACGATTTTGTCTGCCATGGTCTACTTCTCAGTAGAAACTGAATCAAAGCATTAATTCGAGTAGTAGTAATAATAGTAATATTAGAAAGCAGACACAAACTCCAAAACTAACAATATTTTCAAATTGCATCCACCAGATCGACCCTGATCGTGTCACTACACAAGTCATTTGCGAGACCCACGGCACAGTAGCGCGTTAACTTCAGTTGCAGTTTTCACCGCTTATGCCTGTTGGAATCGGATGGGCTTCCGTTTATCGGCAATGGTGGGCGCTTCGGAGGCGTGAGACGGTTTGTTGGTCTTGAACGACACCTGGAGAATTCTGTTATGTAGGCTGAACCCATTTAGGGCGTTTATGGCGGCTACAGCCTCGTCGTAGTTGCCCATCTTCACGAAACCGTAGCCCTTACACCTACCTGTGGCCGGATCTTGGATGATATTGGCTGCGTGCACGGCACCAAATGGTCCGAAAAGTTGCCATAGCACTGAGTCATTTGTTTCAGCTGCTAGATTGTACACAAAAATGCACCATCCATTTGAAGTTAAGGCTCCAGCGCTGGCTGCATACGCCGGGGCCAGGAGAGCCTGAGT